GGAATTCCGCGTTCCTCCAAGTTAGCAGCACACAATCGCCGGCTCCCATAAAGTTCATATAATTCTAATGGTAATTGCCTTCTAGCTCCCCATCAAACTCTCATCACAACCTCGTTTTTGTGGGTAGGGGTTGTGTGACTAATGGCGATTGTTGTATTGCTTCCATGCAAAATGGTCCTCCCCCTCGGGTCCACATCACCAGCTCACTTTCACTCCGTTTATCCCAAGATAAGATTGCTTGCTTTATCCTCATTCAGCGTCAATAATCTACCGTTTAAGAATGTTGGTTAGTGGTTGGACACATGCACGTGCATCCATCTATCTACCTATCAGCTAAGGACGTCATCCGAACAACGCACGGGGAGGAGAGCGGGTGTGTTGCTCCATAGTGATCGATGGTGAGGCAAACATCAAGCGTGTTTAATTCCTTACCACACCCCATTGCCTGGGCTTGAAAACTCATTAGACTTGTGATGAATGAATGCTATTACTACTCCCCTCCCTTGTCCTTCCGCCTCGTTGTCTGTTCTAATCGTCTTATCAGCATCTAAACAGATCATGAAATGCGATGAGACTGCGAGACAAGCTAGCAGAGACGCTGTCACTCGTCTACATTTCTGTAGTACAGCCTGGTTTGTCCAAACTAATTCACATATCAAGAGTTGTTTCGGTTGCGCATGACTGTTATTGGTTGTTTGCACCGGGTTAGTGATTGTAACATGGAGGACATCAATTATTCCACGCTCTTTTGCTGGATTTATTTTAATCATGTCCCACTCTCAGGTAGCCACGCGTAAGCAGGAATTGTCAGTTCCAAAAACTTTTGTTTTTCGAACGGATGGGCAGCCCTGAAAAACTTCACAGGCAAAGACTTCTCAACTATTGTGTAAGCGTCCTTCCTCTAGCAACGGTAGCGTCAGTGATTCTGTTTCACTCGGGCCTTCTCAACTCCAGAGCACTCATTACGTTCACTTTGTACCGAGGTACGTTCTCAGGGCAACAACTGGTCAAACCTGCCGTCACTATGTACTACACATCACCCGCTTGTGGCACTAGCTTGTATCAGTGCTATGATGAGTTAGAGTGGGACTCAGTTCCAGGCCTACCTGACGCAGCTGTCTGTTTTCTGATGTTGAAACCAATCTCAAAAACTAGACGATTGATTTGTAAATACGCATACCCAAAAACATTCAAGACACGGTCCTCACGTACTTTAAGGCCTGTTTCATGCCCACATTTTTTTATACCATGTACAGTCACTATTTCATCAAATTCATTAGGATTAGATAAACAGGATATCATGGTAGTTTGTGATAATTGTAATGTACTACTCATAAGGTTGCTGAAAATCCACCGACAGCCCACGACCGGTTTCGCCCATCTTGGGGCTCATCAGGTAGGCGCAGTCCCCGGGTTTCCGTCAA